TTATCAAGAAACAGTTTATTGTGACCAGACTCGAAAAACCCCGAGAAAACTAAGCCATGTAGATCTCTGATGCACAATAGTCTAGAAGCCAAAAGTGTTCTCTTAGGAAAGTTTGTTTCTTAGGAAGTGAATGAAGACAAAAAGATATGCATGTTTTATATCCTAGATGTTCAAACGCAAAATCACTGTTGGATTTACAAGATGCATATTCTCGAAATATGTTTCATTTCATATTTTTTAAATTGTCCACCTTTTCAGTCCTGTGTGTTATATCATTCATTTGATAACATTAAAAACGACTGTACATTGTTGCATGCATTTTGGTAAAACACAGGGATATATCGAGAAAACCTAACCAATAGATACTGTGTTACATTAATGTTATTTTTAAGGTGATGAACTCTTCTCGATATCACTCAGATGCTTAGTGAGAAAATATGTTATTTGTACGCATCCACAATTTTAGTGAGAATAAAAACATGCAAGAAACCTTTGCCTTGTCTTGTGTTTTATTAATTTATGACTTTGATGTGTATTGCACTTTGACCTAATCTGTCTTGTTCTGATGTGGGTTAGTTCATTATGTTTCACTCACAAATATAGTGAAATTAAGATACATAATATCAGAAAGGCCGTGAAGTTTTGTTAAAAGGCAGACATGAAAATGAGGCTATTGTAGGTGCAGTAAACACCAAAAGCAATACATGACTTATTCCCCACAACTCGCCTTGTGTCATGAAAACCAAATTTGTAAATTTTCCTTGATTTTAGGCTGATTTATTTTAACTGTTAATGTCCATTGCAGCCATGCAATGTATCTGGCACATAGATGCCATATGTTAACAGGAGTAAGGTTATGCTGTCATGCTGAATAAGCTCATTCCCTCATCCCAATCTAGTTCCCAGGCATGTATATGAACGTGTTCACACACTCTAAGCAGAATTTAACTTGCAAAATACACAGTTATTTACTATAAATTAATGAAATGTGTTTCAATACAAAATTGTCAGGTAAATTAAAGCATTAATTATGATTAAAAAAATGGAAGGAATTTGCAAATAAATTTTGTGAAAAAAGAAGTTTCGAGTTAATGGGGAGAAATCATTTTTTAAGAATGCAAACACTGCTCCAAAGATGATCCATGTGGGTGAATGAGAGGGCACTTAATAACATCGGCTCAGGCTACCCTAGAGTTCGGAATACCTTCGCGACTCTTCGTAAGCCTCGTTCTTCGGAAATAATTGAAATTAATAAAACAGAGATATTGAACAGCAAAATGAATTAGCCAAGAGCGACTGAGTGAGCTTTTTTGTGAACTTTGCTATTCTTACCGAAAAATATAGTCAGACTGGTGTTAAAGATAATCATGTTCATGCGGTATAAAATGTATGTATTATTATACAAATATTTTCGGTTATTGGGCAATCCTGAACAGCGAAATTTGATACAAATGTGTAACATAGCGACAACATAATTTTGCTTGTGAGTATATTTATATATTTATATTAAAGTAGTATTTTTTACATTTAATATACAATAATATATTTACAATCAAATAGAAATGTACTAAACATCAGTTCTTTGGTTATGTTGTATACTCACTCTATAGGTTCCCATATATGTATAACCAGTGAATCAATATTGAATCATTCATATTTGTTTTCCAACCCCACATTATATAGTATGCTATATATAGTAGCTACAGATGTGGTTAGTATAAAATGTGAAAGCTTCAGTTCAGTAGACTTGTACCTGATTGTGAGCACAAACCGACAAAATGTTGGTAATAAAGATTGTGTTTACTTTAATTGGGCCGCCCCATTGAAAGCGACACAGAAGAAAATAACGGTAATGTACTTCAAAACATTGGATCACATAGTCACTCTGACAAAGGTGAAAAGGGGTTGGGTCAGAGTGACACCATTATTCTGGAGAAGTCACTGGAAATTGCAACAATGAAGGTTTTGTTGACACTTGTGTGAACTTGTTGGTTGCAGAGAGCCCATCGAAAACAAATGTCAAGCGGAGGTCAAAAACTGTTTTATGCCCCCAAAAATTCCTGAAAGTTGAAATTCCAAGTTTGAAAGAATTTTGCATGGAACAGTTAAATCCTCTTACTGGTGGGCGTGGCATGTCGAATGGAACTGCTAACAAACTGATAGAAAGGTTATTGAGTTGTTTTTTTTTTTTGTAGTATAGTTAAGAACAATTCGGATTTCTCTTTATCACTTTTTAATTATAGTGAGTTGTACACAACTTTTATTGAATATCTCAGGGATGTAAAGAAAACTTAAGCCAACAATAGCTAATTTTCCAGGTATAGCCATTAGTGTTGTTACTAATGACTCATCTGCAGATCTTGAAAATCTGTCTTGAATTAGGGCATATCGCCCTTTCCAGCATCAATTTTTACACGACGCTTATGCGCACATCCTAGAAACGCTTAGAAATCTAAGAGACAAGTAGTTAGAATGCAGCGGTGGTGTCAAAAAATTTAGGCCTGTTCATGATTTTGTGCTTTTAAGTAGGTCCACAAGGAACTGCACACTATATAGTTGTATGATGAAGGTGACAAAGGGCAGCAATTCAATTACGGCAGTTTTGAGCATGGAAATTTTATCATATTTGATCTCGATCAGAGCTTTTCTTGTGCAGTCTGAATTCAAAACTAGTGAAACGACAGGGCCAATCAAGTTAGATATATCCGAGGATAACAAATTAATTTGCTATCTTCAATTGTACCCTTCTAGCATGGTACAAGTTAATGCTCAGAAATACTCACGATTATTTTCTTGCAATAAATATAGCCGTCGCGAAGTATTTACACGATATTGAGCGTGAGGTTTCGATCAGAGCAAGCACAAACTCGATGAGGCATGGCTTTGTCACCTACTTTAATAGCATTGATGAATTGAAAGATGTTAATTTGCACAAGAGCTTAGCAGCACTCATGAAGCACTTAGTATATTATCAAGAAACAGTTTATTGTGACCAGACTCGAAAAACCCCGAGAAAACTAAGCCATGTAGATCTCTGATGCACAATAGTCTAGAAGCCAAAAGTGTTCTCTTAGGAAAGTTTGTTTCTTAGGAAGTGAATGAAGACAAAAAGATATGCATGTTTTATATCCTAGATGTTCAAACGCAAAATCACTGTTGGATTTACAAGATGCATATTCTCGAAATATGTTTCATTTCATATTTTTTAAATTGTCCACCTTTTCAGTCCTGTGTGTTATATCATTCATTTGATAACATTAAAAACGACTGTACATTGTTGCATGCATTTTGGTAAAACACAGGGATATATCGAGAAAACCTAACCAATAGATACTGTGTTACATTAATGTTATTTTTAAGGTGATGAACTCTTCTCGATATCACTCAGATGCTTAGTGAGAAAATATGTTATTTGTACGCATCCACAATTTTAGTGAGAATAAAAACATGCAAGAAACCTTTGCCTTGTCTTGTGTTTTATTAATTTATGACTTTGATGTGTATTGCACTTTGACCTAATCTGTCTTGTTCTGATGTGGGTTAGTTCATTATGTTTCACTCACAAATATAGTGAAATTGAGATACATAATATCAGAAAGGCCGTGAAGTTTTGTTAAAAGGCTGTGAAGTTTTGTTAAAAGGCAGACATGAAAATGAGGCTATTGTAGGTGCAGTAAACACCAAAAGCAATACATGACTTATTCCCCACAACTCGCCTTGTGTCATGAAAACCAAATTTGTAAATTTTCCTTGATTTTAGGCTGATTTATTTTAACTGTTAATGTGCATTGCAGCCATGTAATGTATCTGCCACATAGATGCCATATGTTAACAGGAGTAAGGTCATGTTGAATAAGCTCATTCCCCCATCCCAATCTAGTTCCCAGGCATGTATATGAACGTGTTCACACACTCTAAGCAGAATTTAACTTGCAAAATACACAGTTATTTACTATAAATTAATGAAATGTGTTTCAATACAAAATTGTCAGGTAAATTAAAGCATTAATTATGATTAAAAAAATGGAAGGAATTTGCAAATAAATTTTGTGAAAAAAGAAGTTTCGAGTTAATGGGGAGAAATCATTTTTTAAGAATGCAAACACTGCTCCAAAGATGATCCATGTGGGTGAATGAGAGGGCACTTAATAACATCGGCTCAGGCTACCCTAGAGTTCGGAATACCTTCGCGACTCTTCGTAAGCCTCGTTCTTCGGAAATAATTGAAATTAATAAAACAGAGATATTGAACAGCAAAATGAATTAGCCAAGAGCGACTGAGTGAGCTTTTTTGTGAACTTTGCTATTCTTACCGAAAAATATAGTCAGACTGGTGTTAAAGATAATCATGTTCATGCGGTATAAAATGTATGTAATTATTATACAAATATTTTCAGTTATTGGGCAATCCTGAACAGCGAAATTTGATACAAATGTGTAACATAGCAACAACATAATTTTGCTTGTGTGAGTATATTTATATATTTATATTAAAGTAGTATTTTTTACATTTAATATACAATAATATACTTACAATCAAATAGAAATGTACTAAACATCAGTTCTTTGGTTATGTTGTATACTCACTCTATAGGTTGCCATATATGTATAACCAGTGAATCAATATTGAATCATTCATATTTGTTTTCCAACCCCACATTATATACTATGCTATATATAGTAGCTACAGATGTGGTTAGTATAAAATGTGAAAGCTTCAGTTCAGTAGACTTGTACCTGATTGTGAGCACAAACCGACAAAATGTTGGTAATAAAGATTGTGTTTACTTTAATTGGGCCGCCCCATTGAAAGCGACACAGAAGAAAATAACGGTAATGTACTTCAAAACATTGGATCACATAGTCACTCTGACAAAGGTGAAAAGGGGTTGGGTCAGAGCGACACCATTATTCTGGAGAACTCACTGGAAATTGGAACAATGAAGGTTTTGTTGACACTTGTGTGAACTTGTTGGTTGCAGAGAGCCCATCGAAAACAAATGTTAAGCCGAGGTCAAAAACTGTTTTATGGCCCCAAGAAATCCCTGAAAGTTGAAATTCAAAGTTTGAAAGAATTTTGCATGGAACCGTTAAATCGTCTTACTGGTGGGCGTGGCATGTCGAATGGAACTGCTAACAAACTGATAGAAAGGTTACTGAGTTTTGTTTTTTTGTAGTATAGTAAAGAACAATTCGGATTTCTCTTTATCACTTTTTAATGATAGTGAGTTGTACACAACTTTTATTGAATATCTCAGGGATGTAAAGAAAACTTAAGCCAAGAATAGCTAATTTTCCAGGTATAGCCATTAGTGTAGTGAAGTATAATGTTGTTACTAATGACTCATCTGCAGATCTTGAAAATCTGTCTCGAATTAGGGCATATCGCCCTTTCCAGCATCAATTTTTACACGACGCTTATGCGCACATCGTAGAAACACTTAGAAATCTAAGAGACAAGTAGTTAGAATGCAGCGGTGGTGTCAAAAAATTTAGGCCTGTTCATGATTTTGTGCTTTTAAGTAGGTCCCCAAGGAACTGCACACTATATAGTTGTGTGATAAAGGGCAGCAATTCAATTACGGCAGTTTTGAGCATGGAAATTTTATCATATTTGATCTCGATCAAAGCTTTTCTTGTGCAGTCCGAATTCAAAACTAGTAAAACGACAGGTCCAATCAAGTTAGATATATCCGAGGATAACAAATTAATTTACTATCCTCAATTGTACCTTCTAGCATGGTACACATTAATGCTCAGAAATAGTCATGATTATGTTTTTTTGGCAATAAATATAGCCATCCGTTCGCATGCAGTGGCACAATCGCGAAGTATTTACACGATATTGAGCGTGAGGTTTCGATCAGAGCAAGCACAAACTCGATGAGGCATGGCTTTGTCACCTACTTTAATAGCATTGATGAATTGAAAGATGTTAATTTGCACAAGAGCTTAGCAGCACTCATGAAGCACTTAGTATATTATCAAGAAACAGTTTATTGTGACCAGACTCGAAAAACCCCGAGAAAACTAAGCCATGTAGATCTCTGATGCACAATAGTCTAGAAGCCAAAAGTGTTCTCTTAGGAAAGTTTGTTTCTTAGGAAGTGAATGAAGACAAAAAGATATGCATGTTTTATATCCTAGATGTTCAAACGCAAAATCACTGTTGGATTTACAAGATGCATATTCTCGAAATATGTTTCATTTCATATTTTTTAAATTGTCCACCTTTTCAGTCCTGTGTGTTATATCATTCATTTGATAACATTAAAAACGACTGTACATTGTTGCATGCATTTTGGTAAAACACAGGGATATATCGAGAAAACCTAACCAATAGATACTGTGTTACATTAATGTTATTTTTAAGGTGATGAACTCTTCTCGATATCACTCAGATGCTTAGTGAGAAAATATGTTATTTGTACGCATCCACAATTTTAGTGAGAATAAAAACATGCAAGAAACCTTTGCCTTGTCTTGTGTTTTATTAATTTATGACTTTGATGTGTATTGCACTTTGACCTAATCTGTCTTGTTCTGATGTGGGTTAGTTCATTATGTTTCACTCACAAATATAGTGAAATTAAGATACATAATATCAGAAAGGCCGTGAAGTTTTGTTAAAAGGCTGTGAAGTTTTGTTAAAAGGCAGACATGAAAATGAGGCTATTGTAGGTGCAGTAAACACCAAAAGCAATACATGACTTATTCCCCACAACTCGCCTTGTGTCATGAAAACCAAATTTGTAAATTTTCCTTGATTTTAGGCTGATTTATTTTAACTGTTAATGTCCATTGCAGCCATGCAATGTATCTGGCACATAGATGCCATATGTTAACAGGAGTAAGGTTATGCTGTCATGCTGAATAAGCTCATTCCCCCATCCCAATCTAGTTCCCAGGCATGTATATGAACGTGTTCACACACTCTAAGCAGAATTTAACTTGCAAAATACACAGTTATTTACTATAAATTAATGAAATGTGTTTCAATACAAAATTGTCAGGTAAATTAAAGCATTAATTATGATTAAAAAAATGGAAGGAATTTGCAAATAAATTTTGTGAAAAAAGAAGTTTCGAGTTAATGGGGAGAAATCATTTTTTAAGAATGCAAACACTGCTCCAAAGATGATCCATGTGGGTGAATGAGAGGGCACTTAATAACATCGGCTCAGGCTACCCTAGAGTTCGGAATACCTTCGCGACTCTTCGTAAGCCTCGTTCTTCGGAAATAATTGAAATTAATAAAACAGAGATATTGAACAGCAAAATGAATTAGCCAAGAGCGACTGAGTGAGCTTTTTTGTGAACTTTGCTATTCTTACCGAAAAATATAGTCAGACTGGTGTTAAAGATAATCATGTTCATGCGGTATAAAATGTATGTATTATTATACAAATATTTTCGGTTATTGGGCAATCCTGAACAGCGAAATTTGATACAAATGTGTAACATAGCGACAACATAATTTTGCTTGTGAGTATATTTATATATTTATATTAAAGTAGTATTTTTTACATTTAATATACAATAATATATTTACAATCAAATAGAAATGTACTAAACATTAGTTCTTTGGTTATGTTGTATACTCACTCTATAGGTTCCCATATATGTATAACCAGTGAATCAATATTGAATCATTCATATTTGTTTTCCAACCCCACATTATATAGTATGCTATATATAGTAGCTACAGATGTGGTTAGTATAAAATGTGAAAGCTTCAGTTCAGTAGACTTGCACCTGATTGTGAGCACAAACCGACAAAATGTTGGTAATAAAGATTGTGTTTACTTTAATTGGGCCGCCCCATTGAAAGCGACACAGAAGAAAATAACGGTACTGTACTTCAAAACATTGGATCACATAGTCACTCTGACAAAGGTGAAAAGGGGTTGGGTCAGAGTGACACCATTATTCTGGAGAAGTCACTGGAAATTGCAACAATGAAGGTTTTGTTGACACTTGTGTGAACTTGTTGGTTGCAGAGAGCCCATCGAAAACAAATGTCAAGCGGAGGTCAAAAACTGTTTTATGCCCCCAAAAATTCCTGAAAGTTGAAATTCCAAGTTTGAAAGAATTTTGCATGGAACAGTTAAATCCTCTTACTGGTGGGCGTGGCATGTCGAATGGAACTGCTAACAAACTGATAGAAAGGTTATTGAGTTGTTTTTTTTTTTTGTAGTATAGTTAAGAACAATTCGGATTTCTCTTTATCACTTTTTAATTATAGTGAGTTGTACACAACTTTTATTGAATATCTCAGGGATGTAAAGAAAACTTAAGCCAACAATAGCTAATTTTCCAGGTATAGCCATTAGTGTTGTTACTAATGACTCATCTGCAGATCTTGAAAATCTGTCTTGAATTAGGGCATATCGCCCTTTCCAGCATCAATTTTTACACGACGCTTATGCGCACATCCTAGAAACGCTTAGAAATCTAAGAGACAAGTAGTTAGAATGCAGCGGTGGTGTCAAAAAATTTAGGCCTGTTCATGATTTTGTGCTTTTAAGTAGGTCCACAAGGAACTGCACACTATATAGTTGTATGATGAAGGTGACAAAGGGCAGCAATTCAATTACGGCAGTTTTGAGCATGGAAATTTTATCATATTTGATCTCGATCAGAGCTTTTCTTGTGCAGTCTGAATTCAAAACTAGTGAAACGACAGGGCCAATCAAGTTAGATATATCCGAGGATAACAAATTAATTTGCTATCTTCAATTGTACCCTTCTAGCATGGTACAAGTTAATGCTCAGAAATACTCACGATTATTTTCTTGCAATAAATATAGCCGTCGCGAAGTATTTACACGATATTGAGCGTGAGGTTTCGATCAGAGCAAGCACAAACTCGATGAGGCATGGCTTTGTCACCTACTTTAATAGCATTGATGAATTGAAAGATGTTAATTTGCACAAGAGCTTAGCAGCACTCATGAAGCACTTAGTATATTATCAAGAAACAGTTTATTGTGACCAGACTCGAAAAACCCCGAGAAAACTAAGCCATGTAGATCTCTGATGCACAATAGTCTAGAAGCCAAAAGTGTTCTCTTAGGAAAGTTTGTTTCTTAGGAAGTGAATGAAGACAAAAAGATATGCATGTTTTATATCCTAGATGTTCAAACGCAAAATCACTGTTGGATTTACAAGATGCATATTCTCGAAATATGTTTCATTTCATATTTTTTAAATTGTCCACCTTTTCAGTCCTGTGTGTTATATCATTCATTTGATAACATTAAAAACGACTGTACATTGTTGCATGCATTTTGGTAAAACACAGGGATATATCGAGAAAACCTAACCAATAGATACTGTGTTACATTAATGTTATTTTTAAGGTGATGAACTCTTCTCGATATCACTCAGATGCTTAGTGAGAAAATATGTTATTTGTACGCATCCACAATTTTAGTGAGAATAAAAACATGCAAGAAACCTTTGCCTTGTCTTGTGTTTTATTAATTTATGACTTTGATGTGTATTGCACTTTGACCTAATCTGTCTTGTTCTGATGTGGGTTAGTTCATTATGTTTCACTCACAAATATAGTGAAATTAAGATACATAATATCAGAAAGGCCGTGAAGTTTTGTTAAAAGGCTGTGAAGTTTTGTTAAAAGGCAGACATGAAAATGAGGCTATTGTAGGTGCAGTAAACACCAAAAGCAATACATGACTTATTCCCCACAACTCGCCTTGTGTCATGAAAACCAAATTTGTAAATTTTCCTTGATTTTAGGCTGATTTATTTTAACTGTTAATGTCCATTGCAGCCATGCAATGTATCTGGCACATAGATGCCATATGTTAACAGGAGTAAGGTTATGCTGTCATGCTGAATAAGCTCATTCCCCCATCCCAATCTAGTTCCCAGGCATGTATATGAACGTGTTCACACACTCTAAGCAGAATTTAACTTGCAAAATACACAGTTATTTACTATAAATTAATGAAATGTGTTTCAATACAAAATTGTCAGGTAAATTAAAGCATTAATTCTGATTAAAAAAATGGAAGGAATTTGCAAATAAATTTTGTGAAAAAAGAAATTTCGAGTTACTGGGGAGAAATCATTTTTTGAGAATGGAAACACTGCTCCAAAGATGATCCATGTGGGTGAATGAGAGGG